GCTTGGGGCTGCAGCGCAGCAGAAGCGCAGGGCGGAGCGGGTGGTATAGACATGCTCCCACCATGGGGGCCGGGAAGCAAAGAGAGAAACAGCCTGGGATCCTTATATACCCATGCAGGCCCCGCCCCGTGACGTCACTCCTCCCCCTAAGCCCCGCCTCTTAAAGGCGCCAACCCCTCCCAGTGGCCTTGGGGGCTGCGGTGCCAGTCTTCCCCTGGGGGTCTCAGGGTCCCCCGGGCTGGGGGGCGCAGCGCGTGGAGCGCAGGGCCGAGGCCCCGTGGGCCGGCGCGTGGTCTGTGGCCGCGGCCCCCACCGCTGTCTCGCTCTGCGCCTTCCTCCCACGGCAGCCGGTGCACGGCCGCTGGTTCCAGCTCCCCAACCCCGGCACCTACACGGCGCAGATCAGGGCCAAGGTCAGGGCCAAGCGCTGGACGGCGTGGAGCCCGCCGCAGACCTTCGGTGAGCGCTGCGCCCCTGCCCTGCGCCCCAAAGCTCGGGGACGCCCCGGCCCAGCCCGAAGGCGCGCCTGCACTCCTGCGCCACGTGGGCACCGGCCACAGGGCCTTTGTGCTTGCATCTCTGTGTCCCCGGGGGCCCGGAGCCCACAGGCACCTGATCTCGGGGTCACCCAGGCCCCAGATCCGCCCCGCGGAACCCCGACACGGGCCAGGGCTGGAGAGGGAGCCCGGGCGAGGCCCCTCTGATCAGCTCGGTCCCCTCCCCGCCGGCCCTGGGCGCACGCCCACCCCGTCACGCCGCCCGCTGCCGTTCCTCCCCAGCGTGTGACCCCGACGAGAGCTCGCACACGCGCGCGTGGCGGACCGCGGTGCTGGCGGCCCTGGGGGCGCTGCTGCTTGTGCTGGCGGTGGTCGTGGTCTGCAGAAGGTACGGGCTGTCCGCTCTCCTCCGCACGGGGCCCGCTCCGTGGCCCGCTCTTGGCCGGCTGCGGGCGGGGAGGCCGGGGTGCCCCACACCCAGGTCCCCGGTTTGCGCTCCGGGACCCCTGAGCCTCTCTCTGCGCGTCCCGCGGTGCCGAGCTGGCTGTCCTAGCTGGGGCCCCCTGGCGCCTGCACACAGACCCGCCCCATCTGGTGCCCCCTTTCCCCTGGAGTCGCCCCCTCCGCGGACCCAGCTTCCCAGCAACGTGGGGGGCTCTGGGCTGGGGGACCCTGAGGGACCCGTGCGCCGGGTGCTGTCTGTGGGTGGTACCCAGCTGCGGTGTCAGGGGTCTATTCGGAGAGGCTGAGGCGTGAGGATCTCAAGTTCCAGGTTCAGCCTGGGCGACTTAGCAAGACCTTGTCTCAAAATTAAAATGAAGAAAAGCCGGGCGTGGCGGCGCACGCCTGTCACCCCAGCACTCGGGAGGCTGAGGCAGGAGGATGGTTGTGAGTTCGAGACCAGCCTGGGCTACAAAGTGAGCTCAAGGCCAGCCTGAACTGCATAGCGAGACCCTGTCTCAAAAAGACAAAAA